CCTTAAACCTGGCCCACGAGAGTCCCAGCAGCCCCATCCCCCTCTGGCCGCGCATCGCGCCGAAAACTCTCCTCGTCGAGGGCCTCGGGGACCGCGGCACGACGCGGACGACGACGAGAACGTCGACGACGATGGACGACGACACGAACGACCAGCGGAGACGAAATTGAAGGGAAGGGAAGACCGGCTGCGAGACCGAACCAGAGCGGAGAAGCGGTTTCCGGGAATCGTTTGGTATTCCAGCGCTACCGCCACTCGCGGCACCTTCCTCCTTCAAACTGCGGACAGATTCCTCTGGTCGTCGGGGAAGCCACCGATACGTGGGGACGGGGATTGTCCCTCCTCTATAGACGCGCCGCGAAGTGTGTCAGAATTGCAAATGGACAGCGCGGCACCCGACGAAACACAGGGAGCCAAGAGCCCGACGGAAAGAGGGCGCGAATTCCACCGTGTAATTCTCTAAGATGGATTCGAGCCCAGAGCGAGGAATTTCTGCCGCGGTGAAGAGTTTCGGGAAAGGGTGACAAGGGCGGCCCTTCGACAGTGGGAAAGATTCGATTTCGCGGGTGAAGAGATCCTTTGTCTCGTCGAATATAGAACTTCTTTTCTAGAAGGTGTCGTCCCGCGACGGAAGTGCGTATTCGACGGTGTGTAGAATTTCACCAAAGGAATTCGTGAAGTTACAAATACAGTCTCTCGAATATATTAGGCTTGGGAAAGTTTTTCAATGAAAAATCGAAGAATTATTTTAAAAAAAAAGGGAACTGCCTTTACGCTGGCACAAAGTGTTACAAAATTATGGAAATTATTTTGATACTTTTTAAAATATTTTTATTACTTTTCGGTGCAGTAAAGCCTACTACAGTAAAACTACACTAAAACCTAACAATTTAAACAGTTACTATTCACGTGAAAGTTGAAACTAATATTTTTAAGACGTTCAACAAAATCCAATAAAGTCATCAATTAGTAAAATTGGCGACGGCAGCAACGAGAACACGACGTTCTCGCCCAGTCTCGACGTTATCGTTAAAGATGTAATTTGAAGCTTTCAGCGGCGCAAGGCAACAGAGACCATCGGCTTGATCGTACGCAAAGCTAACGAATCCTTTAAGGACTCGCGGACTGACCCAGGTACGGTCGAAGAGAATGTTGGGGTTAACAGGTACGAGGCATCATCTCTTGGGTCGTAAACGCCAACGCCTCGTAATTATAACGAAACGTTCCTTTCAAGCGTAACGAGCAAACCGAGACGAGATCGGAAAGCCTAGCCGTGGCTCGCGGGTTCAGCGCTTTCGAACGCGGCTCGTTACAGCGGTACCTGTAGAATCGCAAATCAATCAACTTCTCTCGTTTTACGAAAGGATTTATCGACCGACGCGTGTCAACGATCCTGCGCTGGTAATTTCGAGAACTTGCGATCTAATCGAGCACTCTCCGAACGCAAATTTAGAACGCTGGTGTCTGCAACCGTGTTCGTTCTCTGTGTAATATCTAAATTATTCGAAGGGATTTATGTACGATTGATCTTACTCTTAACGACCTACTCGATACACAACTTTTATTCGTTACGGTAGGTGTCTTTCGAAAATGAGCTTGTTTTTCGCTCTCTAGACTAGACACCTACCTTAAACGTTTTCGAACTCATCGAGTTTTTTATTATTCCGACACGATGTCCTGTATGTTCAAAGTATAGATGTTAAAATCACTTACCGAACGATCCTTATGAATCTCCAAGTGGCCGAAGGTTTGCAAGAATTTGGTCAGGTGTTTGGTCTGTACAGATCTTTCTTAGTCTTGCACACCAAATAATTCGATATGCACAATCGATTCTACGGAATAATTTCTTAAGATAGACTTTAAACAGAGTCTGGATAACAGAAATGTCGCGAGAACACGATAAATTTTCTAAAAACTTGAAACCAACGTGACACGTTTGGTGCAGAAAATGGCAGATGACGATGTTCGACTATTCGACTTGTATCGAGTTGGCTTTTTATAGTATGCAACAGTCGCTACCTTCGTTCCTGATGAATTTGTCTTTCAAATACAAACTGATTAAGATTGTTGAATTCATAACGTAACTTTGCTCCAAAAATGTAATTATTGAACTCTCTAAAGCAACTACATAAAATGTACTTTTTAAAAAGTACGAGAACGTTAATATTAATTACACAAAGAATACAAGATTTTATTTACTTTACGATAATCAAGCAATAACATAACGTTAATAATCAAGTAATAATCAAACGTTATGGATTTTGAATTTAAACTCTCAATTTTCTTCGTAAATTCTTCCAATTCTTTCCATTAATGAAAAGTACAGTTCGCGAACAAGTTAAAATAAAACGACGACAAATATCGAAAAATGAATAAGCTTCTGATCTACGAATGAAAAAGTCGAAATGCGAATGAGAGATGAAAAAACCGATTGCTCTTTTCAAATCTCGCGACAGCTTGAAGAACGTGTTCCCGGTTTAACGCAAGAAGCGCTAAAAATTCCATTGGAATTTTTCCCGACGAGGATGTCGGGGCGACACGTTCAGCTCGTGTTTTTTGAACCCCATGAGATCGAAGAGCAACCGAAGCGTGGAATACGCGGTGATTCGTCGAAGACGCGTCACCCAGCGGATAATGGCTTATTATTAACAAAGAGTTGCCGAGCCGAGAAAGTGACAGAGCGGTCGCACACTGGCGAAGACGCGAAGAAAAAAGAGACGAGGTGGGAATAGGTGGGAAGAGAGTCCTGACGCCAGGAGTCGAGTCACGGGTTTCGTCGACGCCTTCGAGAGAAGGGTCCTGACACAACGGGGCTTTAATTACGCCGATATCACGGTAATTAAGCCGATCAATGCGTGCCATTGTGCGACGACTACGGGGCCCTATCGGCTCTCGGGGCCCATCCATAATCACGGCCAGGGACCCCCTTCGTTCGACACAAAAGCACCCCGTCCCGTGGGACACCGGGATATGCCGTGCCTTGCACCACAGCCTCGTATCTTCGAACACTTCGACTCGAGAAAACGCCACCCAATTGTTAGCCTAGCGCACAACGATTTGAAAAGCTTCGTATACGTACCTGAAGTGATATATTAGGGGGGCCGAAAAGTAACCGAAATTTTATCAACATTTATTTATCAAAGAAATCTTAAATAATCAACAAAATAATGTCCATCATTTTCTGACACTTTTTCGCCAACGTAAAAGCAATTGTTTGATTCCCTTTTTAAAAATGTCCTTCGATTTTTCATTGAAAAACTTTTCAAAGTCGAATACACGATCCATAATTGCATGACGTTATTGCTATTAAATGATTAGTACCAATGTTTAATATCGATTGCGCACATGAAACTCTGACTCGTAATGGAACCGGGTTCCCCGAGGAACCACGTTTCGTAAGTTTCAAAAAAACAACGAGCTTGAACCATGACGAACACGATTATCCGTCGTGCATCGAACGTTTCTTCGACTTAAGGGAAATCGTGTGCGAAATGCGTGCCCACCACGAGCCCGGTTTCGTGCGGGATCGTCGTTCCTCGTAGTAATCACTGCTCGAGGGGGCAGCAATACCAGAAAATCGCTCTTCCCTAAAGCGTACGCGCTGGGTGGCACACGGAGTTGTGCCCCACACAACCACAACAATGTTAGCTGCATTAATCGAATGGAATTACGACGTAATCATCCTCGCGGTTCTTCTCGGTATTATACGCAAAGGTTATCCATTACCGAACGCGAGCCCTTGGGCTTTCTGTGTCTCAATTTGTCGCACTTAATAATGCCGCTGGCTTTTTCGGAGTAAGTGGTGTCTTCTTGAAAAATGGTCCCGACGTTCGGTTGGTATTATAGGGTGTTCCGTTTGAGACCTCGGCGAGATGTATCAGAATATCAAATATTCCGATGTTCAGATAGTAGTGTATCGTGAACTTCACGTTAGAATTCATTTAGAGATATGTTGTATATTTTACTCTATTATTATTATTTTCCTGATCTATTCCTCAGCGTAGTGGTCGCCTACGCTACGCACTGCTCCACCATGCGCTATCTCTATTATTTAAAGCTTCAAGTATAATCTTTCTACTGCTCTTTCGCTCCGTGCCCCAATTACGAGCGACGCCATGAATGGGTCACTTCATCGAACCATGAGTCGAGTTATTTCGTCGACGACGGGCCCACCGAATGCTTCGTCACTGTTTATCGAGGTTTATCCAACGCGTAAAACTTCGAAGTGGCGAGTGAAAAGGAGCCCAAGGGAGGGTTGGAAGATTTGTTTGCGGCCGCCCGCGCCGTTTTCACTGTTTGTCGTAGGAGTTAGGAAGACGGAGCCTCACAAAGCGCCGCTTCGAAGAACGGAATGGAGTCGAACGGTAGACTTTTTCGTCTCTCGACACTATTTGCGCCGACATTTCACGAAACACGCCCGGAAGACGATCATCGCTGCGATCGGTCCCACTGTCTTCCTGGATAGTCGCGAACTTCCAGTCGTCGAGAGCAGTGTCTCCGCGACTTGACTTCATTAACCGTGTTTATACGGAGCTGTTCGCGTGTTTGGGATAAACTTGACTTCGTTAAGCATGCTTTTCTCGAAATCGAGAACTTCCTGAAGACTGGTGAAGGTACGATTTATGTTTGAAAGACTTCACCAGGAGCGGTGTGCTGTAAATGGTCATCACGAGTATCGAGGTCACATTTTTATTTAGGAAAGGAATATTAAGTTATAATCATCTAAATCATTCTCACTTGAGAAACGATTTTCTAATGTTACTTTTAGCATGCCCATGTGTGCAAATAAAGTGTCGTTAATTTCAATCACGTGTCCTTTGACTTTTAAGACCCCTCCGAGTATCATCAAGGAACCTGTAGAATCTCCTCGTCGGAGACAAAGAATCTACCTGCAACAAATTAAAGCGATTCCGCCTGACAAACGCGCAACTCGAGGGCCAATTCGAGCCTAACAATCCGCTCAACCGATCCCTTATCTGATACCAATTCTCACGTTTCAGGTGACGGTCGCCAGCACGAGCACGCCAAGCACCAACACGGTTCATCCCAGTGTCAACGACATGGACTGGTTCGCCGGCGTTGCCGAGGAGGAACTGCTGTACTACACGGGCGTCGGGAACGACGTGGACTCTCTTTGGGCTGTGATAGGAAGCTTCGTGCCACCGCCACCTAGACCTCCTTATTTACCCGAGGAGGGTGTCACCACCGACGGACTCACCACCTGTGATTTGTGCTCGTGGGCGTGGAGGAACGACAGGCATTCCTTTTCCCTCGACGGCACTCTCGGTAAGTGCTTACCACCGCGCTGTGATTTCCTGGTTTGATGCGGTCATCGCCGTCGCATCGGTACCACCGTCCCCCGCTTTCGATGTTCTCAACGTCGTAACATTGTCAACGTCCTATTCGCGCGCGATTGCTCAAATACGTCGCCTACCTAAACAAACGAATCAACGATTTCCCCTTCGTCCGAATTAAGAGCTTTTGTGACACTGTTTTTTTTCTTTCCACGACGCATCCTCGAAAGACGAGGTTCCCCTTGTCAGCACTTCAGCCGGTCCACTCTCAAGAAGGGTTGAGAAACGGCTGGTAGCGACATCAGGGACCGCGTTATTCCTTCTGTACATACTAGACCGTATTTGTGGCGTGTTTGCTCCTCAAACAGCTTTTCTAGTCCGGTGGATACTTCAGAGGAGGTTTCCGTTCGGAGCGGAAAGCCGTGGAATCTGAATTCGTGAACGATCTACGCGTCTCCTACATTTCGTCGAAAGATTGTGTGTTTTGGAAATCTCGGGCGGGAATTGCATCCTGCGTGTTTTAACGACGTAACGATGCAGAACAAACTGAGAAAATGATGCCTATTACGGAGAACGAGGTGTTCCACGGTGGTTACCTTGGTCCCTTTTTGCGCGCGAAAAGGGTTAGCGATTTCGTTGCAACGGGAGGCCTCGAAGTCGACGGTTAGGCAGCTGCGGGTACGGTCGCCGTGTTGGGGTACCAGGCAGCCATTAAGGGGGCGAGCAGGACGAGGTGAGCCCATTAGCTTTTGATGACAGGTAATAGAACGAAGATATGTATCCGTTAAGCAAATACAATATAACGAAAAGCTGGCTATCCGGTCGTGAACGAGCCAACGAAACGATCGATCAATCCTCGATCCAACGTGCGCGGCCTTCAAAAAAGGAACACGCGATGCCTGTTCTCTCCTCCGACATGTATCGTCGCATGGTGCGTTAACCCTTTAGTTCGACGACATTTTCGCTGGGGCGAGCGGGCAACCCAAGAGAGTATTCGAAGACCTTACAGTATTACAAGGTTTACGTAATGTTAGAAATTACTTTTTCTAGAAAAAGAAATAAAGTGGCAATCGTTGCATCAAAAAAAAAAATAAACTGCGAACTTACTCTGCGAAAATGTATTTTAATATTTTATCACGAAGGGTTAAGGTCGTGTTTCGCGGAGCTGTCGACGATATCATAATCGATAGGGGACGGAACTGTTCGAAACTCAAGGAAAGAAAGGAACACGCAAGGTGTAGGTACACTACGTCTTCGAGCGTGCCGGGTCGTCAGGGTCGAAGGTCAGCGGCTGAGCTCGCCATGGGAGGCCTCGTGAGCTCTTCGTGTCTGTAAAACTTCTCCTCGTCTCTCTCCCCCTCTTTGTCCTTCATTCGATTCGCGCTAATTCTCGTGACGGACAAATTAAGACGGATAATTCGAGGGCGAGCCCTCGTTTCAGCCCGACCTTCGCATCCGGTGTGCCGGTTTCGACCAATCGCGGCCCTGGTACGACCACTCCTACGGTTCTCCCCTCGATCATCGTTCCGGTAACCCATTTCCTTGCCTCTCGGCGTGTTGACGATCGTTTGACTTCGAGCAGCCATCACGTTGACAAGCTAGGGAGCCGAATTGCACCTGGAGACTCGTTCGAGAACGATTGCTATGCTTTCGACGAACGGGATCCTTAGGTGATTCGAAAGTCACGTAGTTAGGCTTGAGAAAGAATCGAATTGACCGCCCTTGATAATCATCTCGGTGAAAGTAATTGTTCCTGACTCTATTGGATGAAGATTAACTAGTGATACCGAAGGGATATCTAAATTTGATCGAATAATTCTACTTACTCGACTCGTGTTGACGGACATAAAATAGACTTTGGCTCAGTTAGGGGCGACAGGGGTGTCCGAGACAGTGGAAGTGGGGTGAGAATTCAGGAATGTCGTTTGTAGATCTTCCTACGCTATGCCAATATTACCAAATGAATTTTTCATTATAAATATGTATATGAATAAGCCTATACAAACATACACTTGGAAACATCAAACCTGCCATATAATTTAAACAAATTTCTTCGATAGACATAGAGGGTACGAATATTTATGAGACTGACCGTATGTGTTTTCGTTCTAACTGAAACCATTAGAACTGAAGACACGGCGGAACATCGGTAACGTTAACAGTAAATATACTGGCTCTGGATGTGGGACCACTGACATCGGTATCAATTTCGAACAGTTAACAAAACGTGTAGCAAGGCAACAAGGTGAAGTCGTTTCCATTTCAAGGAAATCGAACCGCAAACGCTGGTAAAGGGAGTCTTCGGAGACCGAGCTACACATCCGGTGGAAAGAATTCGTCCAATCAGAAGAGCAGACTCTCCCCTGGTGAGCCCAGGTTCGCACGTACGCGAGGGCATACGTAAGTTTCCGTTACGTGGCAGGGTGCCCCACCTCTGTCCAGGGCCTCATCGCTTCGCCCTCCTCCTGGTTTCAGCCCCTGCGGGCTCCATCGTTCCAGGCACGCATTATCGCCATTACCATGAATTCCAGCAGTTATTACGCCTCTGTTGCGCCGCCACGAAAATGGCGCATTCTACCGTGCAACGAAGAGGACGCTCCGCCTCGGCCCTTTCTTCCCTTTTTATCCTGGCGCCCGTGCTCGCAGCGTGTCGTCGCACCTCGGGCTAGAAACCCGTCGACTTCCATCGATAGCGTGATCCCTGGGAGCAATTGTTTCCTTTCGCATAGCACCTATCGGCCCAGTGTCCGCGGATATCGTCAAGGATGGGATCGAGGTCGATACGTGCTCACGAAACGGAGTCAATTTCGATACTCGTGGCTTGAAAGGAGTTGCAATGTACTCGAGCGATTAATAGTGTATATCAGGTCACGCGAGGGCGACGCGTCTCGGTGAATAACGATCCAGAGATCTCCGAAACAAGCGAGGTTCAGCGCGGACGTGGCTGGCACACGTGCTTTGATTATAACGTGTTTAATTAAAATTTTGTAGTTTTCATTAATAGACGTATATATATATACAGGAATCTCCATAAGTTCGAATAGTAGTCGAATGAACCGATGCTTCACGCATTTCGAACCCCCAGACACGAATACTTCGGAAATGCACTTACGAGTTCCCCCGAGTGCTTGGAAGAATTAAACCCTTCCATCGTTTAAGGAGAAAATGGCGGCGTCTCTGTTCCCACGGTGTCTTCCCCCTCTCGAGAAAGAATTCTAACCAAATCGAGGAATCCAACATGGTCGTTAGAAAATTCGTGAACGAATAGCCACAGAAAATCGAAATCGTAATTTGTTTCGCGAATGATGGACGATCGGTAATAAGGTATGCGGCCGTTTTCGATACTGTTATTAACGCGATAAATCATCGATTCGGCCAGATGAAGCGGGGGAAGAGGAGGGGACGACACGTTTCGTGTAGAGATAAGATGGTTCGTTGATTCGGCGTCGAAACGCCATTGTCTCGCCGAAACCGACGCAATTACGCTGCGAAACGCGAGGATAAATTGAAGGGGTTCGGAGGGCGGGAAGGGGGGCGGTGAAGAGGAACGCCGCGAGATGGTGGGCTCTTTAAAGGAGCCCCGCGATGGGGCAATCATCGCGTCACTTCGCATCTTCTGCGACGTAATAATTACGAGATCGCGCCTCTGAGATCGTGGTACCAGCGCGAGCCTGCGAGCCGAACGAGAAAGCGGAAAGCGAGCAAACGAACGAACGAAACGCGAGGGACAAGAGGAGAACTTAATTCGAGCTCTCGAACAGGCTCTCTCGTGCCGGAGCAAGCGCGTCGCGTCCCGTGCGAATCGGCGTGACTCCGACGCTGGAACCGTTTACGCGGCTCCTGTCCGCTCGAGGTTCTCAGATCTCGCGTGGGTGGGGCACTGGCCGAGCGAAGCTGTCCGCGCGCATCCTCGACGCTCTCCAGTTGCCACTTTTGCTTCTCCGGAGGTGTTGAAGTGCGTTTTTCGAGGACTCGTCGACTCGAAGAGGATAGAAGCGAGGGACGAACCGGACAGCCGTTTGTCCGGTACCGAAATGACTCCATCTTTCGAGCATCGGAGTTGCGCAAACGACGCTTGAAAGGCGCGATGATTTTGCGCGTTGAGAATCCTCGGTGCCGATAGGATTATACTTCTGCGTGAACGTATCGAGTCGAGTTCGGTTACTAAACGAAACGAACGAAGCATTCATCGTGAGAACGGTGTAAAATCGTGAATTTATGAAATGATAAATGGATCGCGGAAGTTTATGCATTTATGGCAACTGGAAATATGGCAAAATGTGTAAGGATGTACACGAGTTCAAAGTATTTCTTACATACTGCATTGTTTAAAAGATAAGAAAATACTTTCATATATAATTTGCATAAATATCTGCTGTCTAATAATAGGTTTGGGCTCTTGGACACGTAACGCGAATAAAATATAACGGACATGCAGCGTTGTACCCGTGAAATAGATTACTTTGTGATATTATGAGAGGGAGGATTCGTGACACTTTGGAAAGAATTCACCGCGATACATTATGGTACAGCTGTCTCTGGTTGACTTCAGTCGTCCGAGCACGAAAGTGAGCGGACAACGCCATCCCCTCGCGGCGAGCAGCATTTATCGTTGCTTTGTCGTTTAATCGACCGCTCGTTAGGATATCCTTGCGTCTCGAAAACCAGCCTCGTCCTCGCCTGAGTCATCCTTTTAATTCGCGTTACGCGCCCGCGGCCACGTATATTCGTATTGGGCCGATGTTATCTTGTTGCGTATACGCCCCGGGTCCTGGGCTACGTAACGAGGCTTCTTCTTCTCTTCGCTCGTTCCAACAACCCTCCTTCCCTTTCACCAGGAGCCTCCTCCCTCGGCCTCTCCCTCCTTTCGCGAAGTTACGATGTCGCACCTTTCGGGACCCGGACAATCGCCTTCACGCCTGGAGAATCGCGTGCTGCGGAGGGAATTTACTTTCCGAGAAACCTGGACGAGTTATTCGGCATAGAAAATTA